CACTTGTGCCACTCTGATTGAGGTATCTCCAAAACATGCCTTCTGAACGCATCAAATCGATGTTTTGAGTGCTCAAAAATGCAGTTGTTTCAATCGATGTGTGAGATCTCGTTTGTTCAGTTTTTCTAAAAACACAGGAACATTTGCTTGGAAGTGCTTCGCCGAACAAGTTTTGTTTGGATTCGGCACATCTTGAAACAACCATATAATTCGCTTGCTGTTTACTTTCGGGCCCATACGCGTAAATCCACTATTCATCACCTGTCACAATTTCACAGACAGTGTTTGAAGCACCGCTGTCATATTTTTTTAATACTTATATACAATACCAATTGACACCCGCCTTGTTTTGAGTGATTTACAAATTATGTAGGGTTCAACGTGAAAAAATTTTTTTTCTGCCAAACATGCAATGTTAAATGTATGTCATTCATGCAATGTTGAACGTATGTTAGTCCCACTAATCCAATAGTTCTCTCTTAATCTATTATAAGTCACAAGATGATTTTGCAATATCAATTTGCGCACAGCGTCAACGTTTGGATGACCTTCATGAAATTCGCGTTGGAGTGATTTACGACCTAAATTGAATTCACTAAACCATCGATAAACACTGGTCTTTGATGGAACCTCATCACCAAAAATGTATTAGGTTAATCGATGCACTGTTACTGAATTAATCCACATCGAAAGTTGTCAAAAATAATCGCACTAAAATGTTCACGATTTAATTCAATCCAACACAAATAGCGTTCGTATGTCAAAATTTTCTGAGTATGTAAAACATCAAAAATGTTAAACTTTACGATAAAGTTGTGAGTTACCAGATTGCATGGGGTAATTCGTGGACCGATTTTACACATTTTTCATTAACAATTTGTATCCAGTGTTTAATGTTGACTTAATTTTCCTAAGACATCTTACATATTTACCCATAAATACGGTGATAAAAGAGTGTTTACTCTTTCCGACGCATTTATTTATTGAGTTTTGTACTTTTCGTAGTTTCATCGTTATTTAGTGAGTGGATAGGGTCATTCCGATTCGTCATATTTTCATACTGTCAGAGGTGGAGCCAAAAGGATTTAGCCTGAGGAATTTGGTTGAATATCCCTAGTGCTTGGAGAATATACACTAAGCCAAACAAATAGTCAATAAGATGGAGAGATACTCACCGGAAGTCGCCTCGTCATCCTGAACATTTATATATACATACCTTATAACCTATCTCTATTAGTTTTAGGAGACACAAATAAGCGTTAGGTGAACAAAGCTATTATATTCTGTAGCAACATGATGAAAGTATTTAAAACAAGTAAGAAGGGCTAAGTTCGGATGTAACCGAACATTTTTCTACTCCCAAAGTTAAATGGTATACTCGTTTGAGATTTCTTTATATATTTCATAATTAGAAGTAGGAACTGTTGCCTTAGTTATTTACATCCACAGTGAAAATAGTTAGAGCAATTTGCAAACTAAATTTACTCAAATTATAAGAAATCATTCTTGTGTTTTTGTATACGCTTAATTGATTTTATATAGAATGCATTACAACTGTAATGAGAACTATGAAAGAAATCGTTTTTGCAATTATACATGTTTAGCTAAAAATAATAATATTAACAACTTTAAAATTATATTATTATATTAATTTATATATAAAATTTACAATATTAAACATAAATTTTATAAAGATTCTATACATATATCTAAATTATACTTCTTTTCTCCTTATACATATTTAATTTCTATCATATATTTATACAATAATGTCTATTAATAACAAATTATACATATAATTTAAATTTTCTTAATTAGATTATTTACATATTTTCTTAAATTTGTCTTAAAAACTACTGTCAAAATTGCTATACCATTTAATTCGCTTATATTTGGAAAAATCAAGAACTATTGCACAAAGTCTGAAAACTTTAGTTCGAAATAGAGACACAAATACTGTCATGATAGCTGTGTACTGTCTCAAACGTAATTGCATTTAACATGGGAAGGATCCATGTTTGAAAATGCCCAATCAATTTGTGTACCGGCAGGTGTAGTTGAATATTTTGCACCAATGAAATACAAGTTAAAACCATCTTTTAGTTACGCCCAACATGATACCCTCATGCTTCCTAAAAATAGTGCAAATTATTTACTTGCCTTTGACAAGGATATTTAATTCTCTCTTAAACACGGTATACCTATTTCCTTCAATATGGAAACAGTCATTTATAATCCTTTGCATAAAAGTGGATTTAGATCCAACATTGAAAACTATAGAGTATCGCAAAACTATCAGTTATACCTAAACTTTTTGAAGCTATCATCACTGACCATATAACCTTTTCGATTTCTCCGTTAATTTCTCATCTCAGCATGGATTTCGTAAAGGAACTCGACTATAACAAACTTACTTGAAACCATGTTATCAATGGGTTTGGGTACATAAGCATACGGATGTTATATACACAGACTTTAGCAAAGCTTTCGATAAAGTAAAATATCTCGATTCTCAGACATAAACTTGATCGGCTGGGCTTTCAGCCAAGATTCCTTCAATGGTATATTCCTATCTTTATAATAGAACAACGAGTGATATTGAGGATAACTTTCAGATACAATTAATGTTTCTTCTGGTGTTCCGCAAGTAGTCATCTTGGCCCGATTCTCTCTTGTTGTTTATTAACGATATCTCTTCAGTAATAGAATTCTCAAAATTATTATACGCTGACGATGTAAACCTTTTAAATCATACACTTCAACTGAGGAAAGTGTCTGTTGCAAACAGACTTAAACAATTTGGTTGCATGTGTGATAGAAATAATTTGCCATTGAATCTCAATAAATGTAAGACGATGTGCTTTTCCCGTAGATCTGTGCACCCTCTTTTATGTAATAAAACACCTATTCTAGATAAGTTTTAAACTATGTTGATTTGGGAGTTAATATGGACCCTAAGCTTAATTTCAGTCTTCATATTGAAAGCAAAAGCTGTCCTCAGTTTTGTTAAACGTTGGTCTAAAGAATTTAGAGATCCGTATATTACTAAAACACTTTATACAACTTTGGTTAGACCTATATTGGAATATATGGACAAGTTAGAGTCGGTTCAAAAACAATTTTACTTTTCGCCTTACGCATTTCCGATGGGACGCTAGGGTAAGTCTACCTCCATACACTATTCGTTTAAAACTTATTAATCTACCTACACTTTCTAGTCGTAGGAAATGCTTGGCATAACATTCTTAGTGAAACTTTGAATGGAACTGTTTGCAGTTCTTTTTCCTGTCTGAAATTAAATTTAATATCCCGGTTCGCCTTTCGAGGCAGTTTAGACCTTACTGCTAAAATCCTGTAGATCAAATTTTGAACTAACGAGCCATTCCGCCGTATATGTCATGATTTTAATTCTCATTCCACACATTTGACTTATCTGACTCACTTTAAAATTAAAAGACTTTATTGTTTTCTCTTAATAAATGAAAATGTAACAATTTATTATATTGTAACTTTAGATCTTAGCTGTTGAAATTTTTGTTTCTGTAGCTGAGCAGTTTTAGATCTCAACACTTAAAAAACTCTCTTGCCTTTTATGACTCGGCTAATTCCGCACCTATGCGGATTGCGCCCCTCGCGCCGGTTGGGCGGGAGGAGGGTAATCGTTGGGTTATTATTATTATTAAAAAAAGTTTTTTTCTTGGAGCAGATTTCTTATTGCAGTCCCTGTTGGCAGTAAACAAACTACGAAAAGTAAAAAAACTCAATGAATAAATGCGTCGGAAAGAGTGAACACTCTTTATTCACCGTATTTATGGGTAAATATGTAAGATGTCTTAGGAAAATTAAGTCAACATTAAACACTGGATACAAATTGTTAATGAAAAATGTGTAAAATCGGTCCACGAATTACCCCAGCTTCCATATACTACATATAATTTTCTTTAATCTAGCATTCGTTTCTCAACCCTAGTGTTGCAATCTGGTAACTCACAACTTTATCGTAAAGTTTAACATTTTTGATGTTTTACATACTCAGAAAATTTTGACATACGAACGCTATTTGTGTTGGATTGAATTAAATCGTGAACATTTTAGTGCTATTATTTTTGACAACTTTCGACGTGGATTAACTCACTAACAGTGCATCGATTAACCTAATACATTTTTGGTGATGGTGAGGTTCCATCAAAGACCAGTGTTTATCGATGGTTTAGTGAATTCAATTTAGGTCGTAAATCACTCCAACGCGAATTTCATGAAGGTCATCCAAACGTTGACGCTGTGCGCAAATTGATATTGCAAAATCGTCTTGTGACTTATCATAAGATTAAGAGAACTATTGGCATTAGTGGGACTAACATACGTTCAACATTGCATGAATGACATACATTTAACATTGCATGTTTGGCAGTAAAAAAAATTTGTTCACGTTGAATCCTACATAATTTGTAAATCACTCAAAACAAGGCGGGTGTCAATTGGTATTGTATATAAGTATTAAAAAAATATGACAGCGGTGCTTCAAAACATGTCTGTGAAATTGTGACAGGTGATGAATAGTGGATTTACGCGTATGGGCCCGAAAGTAAACAGCAAGCGACTATATGGTTGTTTCAAGATGTGCCGAATCCAAACAAAACTTGTTCGGGCCCGGGGTTCTTGCATGAACTTTTGACCAAATATATTATATTATATAATACTTGTATATACGAAATTTGACACAGATAATTGTTCACGACGACGCAAGATAAATATCTTTTTATACCTTTTTATATTTATCGAGTTTTTTTTGTTTTGTGATTTGCCTTTAGCTTTGAGAGCGGAGCGAATTAAATATTACCTCCGTACTCTCGTTTGCCCCTCGCAAAATTATAAAAAATAGAAAACAAAAAAAAAATTAATACTAAATTGTATAACTGTCTCCGTTTCATATATTGAGATTTTCACGAGAAAATAATTAAGTAATCGGTGCATATATACTATTCAGAATAACTTCTTACCCGATAGTTTATAGGCCATTGCCAAGGTTTGCTTGTTAGTTCTCCTTCCTTCGGCTTAAGTCCGGCGTTTCCTTGAAACATTACTGCATGAGATTCCACAAACGTTGAAAAAAAACTAGGGGCGTACATGTTGAGGTTGACAGTTGATACTAGAGTTGAAGAAAATAATATCGTATGTACCATAAGAGAGACGGAAAACGTAAATGAACAATTATTATTGCAATCGTATTTGGTAGCTCAATAATATTATATATGGATATTATAGGTTGGTTATATCAGCCTCATGTCCACCATGTTAACACACCGTTTCACAAGGCGCAACACTGACATCCCCCAACTCAACAGAATTGGAAACACTAACCAGAGAACTTAAAACAATGAGAAGGTGCAGGTTCGACAGCGAACAATTTGTAGGAATTTATCAAGGAGTTCACCACATATGCACGAGAAACAAAATAACATTTCTCGCTTTTATAACAGCGGTGAATCTGTAAACATACGCTCTCTTAACATAACCAAACGGCGAATATTGAAGAGAATACAATATGTATGCCAAACTGGGAATATTGATATGCCATTTGAAATATATTCCCTTTTATTGAACTATTATTTATTATTTTTTAAATTATTTTATGTTATATATCAAAATACTTTTAAATTATTACTAATAAAGTATTTTGATATATTTCTTAAAATAATTCATTAATTGTACTTGACACCATTATGGAGTCATAAAAGTACAGAATTGTGTTTTGCCGTTGGTATTTCACATTCATGCTTTAATTTTTCTTTTCAAATGCATGTGTAAACATATGTAACAGGACATACATATATTATGTCGTTTACACATTTGTATGTATATTTTTATGTAGATATGTACACTCATTACTTCATGTGAAATTTCCGTTGACACATTTTTTGCTTTTATGTCAAAGAGTCAATCTGTCGAAGAACTGACGCGACGACACATTTTATCAATGTAGCATTTGTGCAAAAAAATAATAATTTATCAATTTTTCATCATAAAAATCGTTTATATGGCAAAAAATAATCATGCATATGTGAAGTGGCATTTGTATTTCTTGTTTTCTCATTCATTTCATTTCATTTTTCTCTTTATATTGGTAGATACGTATTTTGTCAGAGAACTTTGTTAAAAATTCTCATTTCTGTTAAATAACAGCAAAACTATACAGAAAGTGGTGAACTCCTTGATCTCAAATTTTCAGCCAACCAATCGAGCATCATACAAAATTCAATTTGCACCTTCTCATTGTTTTAAGTTCTCTGCACTAACATACTCGCAAACACCACACACTTATATACACAGGATGCACCACACCATCTAAAAACTCTACACCATCCAACTAACTTAAAGGAATTGACCTCGGTAAAGATGGGTTTTTGTCACTGGATTTCGTTCGACCAACTCCCTCGTTGAACCACCGGCTTTTATCAAAGATCGTAAAATATAGAAAAGGTGCAAATCGAGTTTTGTATGATGCTCAATTGAATGGCTAACAGAGCTGAAAAACACCGAGTGGGAATTCCCCATTTTCTAACATATTCGCTGGTATTTAACAGAAATATGTAAAAACGACTGTTTATAGTACATACAGATATTATTTTTTATGATAAAAGATTTAAGAAATTACATATACTTTTTTCACGAATGTAGCATCAATGCGAAAGATTAGGCAAAAACTTATTTTGTGTTTGTTTACTTATTACGGTGTCACAAAAATAAAAAAACTTTAAGTATTTACTTAGTTTTTAGTACCGATATTTAAATAATATTTTTAACTTTGAACGTAAAGTATATGATGAACAAGAACAAGACAATGCACCGACATATACCACATATACAGAGATCATTGTTATAACAAACAAGTAACGAAAGGCTAAGTTTTAAGGGTGTAACCGAACATTTCATACTATTTAAGGATCAATCGATTGTCGACGAAAGAGTGAATGGACTACAATCAAATTTGTTATATTAACTTATCTTGAAGGTCACAGACTAATTTTTTTGTTTTTTTTTTTTGTAGTTTTGTTTATTTGATTAAAAATAATAAACACAAGTCATAGACTCATTTTTCTACTATAATTTACTCCCGTCAGCGCAAATTATACTTAAATCATTAGGTATATAGGAATGGAAGGGCTGACTGCATTAATTTTTGAGAGTTCGTTCGGTTTTTTTATTGATTTTGATTTTTTTCAAACATGCGCCATTTTGTTTATAAACTTGTTGCCAATGAGACGCTAACTTCATTATACCCCTCTCGTAAAACGCTGCGTCCCTATTGGCAAAAAACTTGGAGAGCCAATTTTCACAGGCCTCTCTTGAGGCCAACTTCTCACCATTAAGCGCGTTCGCCATGGACAGGAAAAGATGGTAATCACTTGGTGCCAGGTCCGGACTATAAGGTGGGTGCGTCACCAAAGACGTGTGTGGCCTGGCGTTGTCCTGATGGAACACAATTCGGCCTCTGTTGATCAAAGATCGCCTCTTCTGGATGAGTGCTGCCTTCAAGCGGTCCAGTTGTTGACAGTAAAGGGCCGAATTAAGCGTTTGGCCATAGGGGAGCAGCTCGTAGTAGATGATTCCTTGCCAATCCCACCAAACACACAGCAAAACCTTCCTGGTCGTCAATCCGGTCTTGGCCAACCTCTGGACCGCTTCCCCGATCTTTGATCACGACCGTTTGCGCTCGATGTTGTCGTAAGTGACCCATTTTTCATCGTCAGTCACGATCCGCTTCAGAAACGGGTCGATTTTGTTGCAGATGGAAATTCGGTCCATCATGTTTTTTTGCGTTAGTTCGTGTGGCACCCAAACATCGAGCTCCTTTTTGAATCCAAGGTTATGCAAATGGTTCCAAACGGTTTTCTGGCTTATCTTTAGTTCCTCAGTAATTAAATAAGTGCTCACGTTACGGTCTGTTTCCACTATTTCCATGATTTTATCGCAATTTTCGACGATAGGCCTCCCGACGCGTGGTGCATCTTTGACATCGAAATTACCGGAACGGAACCTAGAAAACCACTTTCGGGCCCATAAACGAAATTGCTGCTTTTTCGCCTTGATCGAAGAAAAATTGTAAAATATAGCGAATTTTCTCTTTGCTGGTGTTCATTTTTGACGAGCGCTCACAACGTACTACGTCAATCAATCGCAAAACTGTCAAAGACAAACTTTTAGCGCGAATAAACACGTTTTCAGCGCCGTATAGTATGACATGATGCAACACGTAACACTGGTAGTATGGACAATAACGCCATCTCTTTGATAAAAACCGAACGAACTTTTTACTTGACCTAATATAATATAAATATTAACATATGTATGGGGTAAAGTCAGCGGGGGGCTATGGGAGCTAAGACAAGTTTTCATCCGATTTTATTCATTTTTGGCACAAAGATACACTAAACACGCTTTCTCAATTTGAATTTAAATAACTCTCACATTGCTATATGGGGGCTAAGAGAAGTATTGATCCGATTCAACCCATTTCTCATACAAGGGTATATTGTTATCAAAAAAACATTTTCCCCGAAACTCAATTATTATCTCACAGATTGACCGATATTTTCGGCAAGAATCCTTAGGCTCTGTAATCCATATTTCCGGTATCTGCGGGCTTGAGTCCGATTTTGACAATTTTTAGAGCTGATATGGAATACCTTAACGAAAATATTCGTACAAATTTGTATACCGGTATATTAATTAGCGCTTGATTTGTATACTGGAAAATGAAAAAATTAGATGGAATTTAAGTTGTGTTATATGGGAAGTAGACGTGGTTACTGTCCGACTTCGCTAACTTTGGCACTGTTACATGGGAATGTCAAAATAAAATTTTATGTACCAAATTTGTCCACATTGTTACATTGTATACTTGTGACAACTGCTCCAATAAAGCAGTTTTGCGACATCTTGGATATAAAATTTAATGTCTCTGACGCATTCCGTTGTTGATTCAGTCTGTTAACATCCGATTGCACCTATTTTAATGCTGTCGCAAAAAGTTTCGAAATGATTTGTCCTGTGCAATATATTAAACCTATTGGGGAGTGTGACTACACCCGCTTTTAAAAAAATTTCAAACCACAAGAATCCCTTATTATTGTGATTAGTTGTACCAAAATACAATTTTGTATCTTGATTTGCGACGTATTTTTGGCAATTTGTAGATTTTTGATTGATGGGAGTTTGTGGGCGTGGCAGTGGTCCGACTTCGCCCATCTACGAACTCGTCCTCACCTTTTTATCAAGGAACACGTGTAAAAAGTTTCATTAAGATATTTTAGGTTTAACTCAAGTTATCGCTTGCACAGACCAACTAACGGACAGATAGACAGTCACTCGGATTTTAACTCTTTCCATCATGCTAATCATGTATATATATATGTAAGTAATATTTTTAAACTATACATACACTATATATTTTTAAACTTAACAACTTAATACTTAATTTACATTATAAAATTTCAATGTTTGCTTAAGAACTGCACTAAACTCTCGATTACAACTTCTACCGAAGGTTATCTTGATTTTTTTTACTCATAACGTATAAGAGCGTATTAGAGATATTTATTATTTGGGTGAGTGTAGCAATGCCACTTGTATAACCGTATATCTAACTCGATTATTTGTAGGTGATACAAACAACCATTAGGTGAACAAACCTATTATACTCTGTAGCAACAAGTTGCGAGAGTATAAAAAAGAAATAATAAATTTTGAAGAACATTTATTAATATTATACTATTGTCAAAACAATGTCAAAAATTAATGCAATCAACATCTTTAGTTTCTGCCCCGAATATACCTTATGTAATAATTTTTGACTTTCACTTGACTTTAAACCGTTTAGATTGGTCCAAATGTCTGATGTTTTTATGAAATTAAGTGGATACGTTTTTTGAGAAGTTATAAAATTATATTAATGGTTTGGCATATAACATAAATACAAATGGTCTCGTTGTAAACCTCATATCCCTAATAATATATAATATAATATATAATAATATATATATAATATATAATGAATTTCGATTCTTTGGTTGATGTTTTCCATATCAACTCATTATATTAAATTTATCCTCTTCGGTCAAGTTTATGTCAGATAAATCTTATTTAAGG